TCTCTTTGAACCGAAACTACGGACTCCAGTGGGTGATAGCGGCGGACAATCCAAATTCTTGTTTCAGTGTCCCAGTTATCCGTTTTTGTTAAATGTAAAAGTCAATCTGCAAAATAAAAAATTAAAAATTAGCCAGATTCATTAAATAGAAAAAAAGTTATTTAATTTTTGTTGGTAGCGGCTTTCATCGACCACCCTGTATTTAACATTAAATGTACCATATCAAAATCTTTTTCTTTTACGCAAATATAAAAAGTTAATGCGCCTAATTCATGTACGTACACCAATACCTGTTAATAGCAGCAAAATCAGTTTACAATAGGATACCGACCCAAAATACACATTGTATCTTGTACGTTCAGGGTTGTTATGGAAATAAAAAAAACTCCATAGGTCCCAGAATCTACTAGACATTAATCCTATTCAAAATATGTGGAACTTATTGAAAAACCATATTCGAAAACATCGAATTTCTTCAAACTAAGGCTAAAAAACTGAATCATCGACTTGGTAAAAATATCCGGAAATAATACTTGAAATCTAGTGGGCAGCATACATCGACGTCTATAATTTATATAAATAATCATTGGTGTACATAAATTTTTTGATATGAATTAAGCGCATTTTAAGCTTTGGCACACATTTTTTTTATTTGTGTAAAACAAAATGATTTTGATATGCTATATTTTATGTTAAATATACATATCTTGAAATTGATAGAAAAAAAAAAAACACAAAATTTATTAATTTTAAAACAAAGAAACGTGTCGTAATTTAACACTAGATATACCAGCGATTGAATTCTACCTATTTATGCCAAACCAGTCAAATTACTGTTCTTAAAAAGGAAGTGTTTCATGGGGTTTCTTTATTTACTCTTAAATACATACAGCATAAATATATACATTAATTCTTTAGTTATAACTAGAAAAGTCATGATATCATTACGAAAAAAATATTACACGTAGTAGGAATTTGAAATTGAAATACCGAAGTCATTTTGACTGGTCTGGTATATCTAGCGTTAATAGAACTAGGTGTATGTAAACTTTATTGGTCCACTGTATGTATTACTTTTAACATCGCAATTTTGATTGAGAAGATTTCATTAAATACTAATCGTATGTACTCATGCGCATAAAAATTACAAAATTGTACTGTATATATTGAATCAGATTTAATTTAATGAATACTTTTATTTATCAATAGCTTTCTCTATTTAAATTTTAGTTCATGCCATGGATACTACGCCAATCGTTAAAACCATTCAATCAAATGGTAATTTTTTATTTTATATTTATTATTTATGGAATTGGGTATGGTATACTAAATTGGGTAAATAAATGATGATTGGTCAGCATGTCATAAATATTATAATATTTATAAAGTTTATGTTAAATTGGTTATGTTTAAATAGTCTAAGTAAACAAAATGTTTTCATTTGCGCTTCTGAGCCTTCCTACATTTTTAATATATTAATTCGTTTTAAATATTATAAGTCATACTAACTACCTCCTTTAGCTATAACAATAGTATATACATCTATAACTATTTTAATAGAACAACATACTTAGTTACTTAGGCATTAATAATACAATATAAAAGAATTATCATTATCAAATGCTATTACTATTTCGTTGACAATTGTCTTTATTTTTTTTTATAACTAATTTGTTCTATGGCTTAAAGTAAAATACTATGAAATCGATGCTAGCCAATATACATATATATAAATATGTAAAATATAAAAGGTTATTTTAAATTTGTACATTCCATAAACTATTTACGGTTGAGAATGCCATTTTACTGTGCAATATCATTCCAAACAAAAACACATATTTGAGTTTTTGTTGATGAGTTAGTCAGTAACAATGGCGTAAAATTTATTACTCAAACTATTATTAAACAGTATGGAGATAAGATAATAGTCCAGCTACACTAGGCAGAGTACATGTTTATATCTCATTTTCTCTTGTTAAAAAATCATTTGTATATACTATATTTTAGAGAATAAACACATTAAATGCATAATATTTAAAACAATGAAAACTTGACACCATTGTTTTATCGTTAAATTAAAAAAAAAAAAAAAATAGCGCAGAAAAAGTTTGCGTACAATTAATAAAGTGGGAATTACCCGCGTAATAGCCAAGTTTTATTTTATTTTATTTTTTTTTTTTTGTAGGATAAGTAGTTTTAAAAGATTTTTTTCTATTCAGTTTTAAATTTAGTTGATAATATATATACAATTTCTCCTAAAGGCAAAGCCCCTCTGACAAGGAAATATTAGTTAAACACCATGAAGAAAGAAAAGAATACCGTGAATTCGAATGGATTGTGGGAAGAACACATTCTCCCATATCTTTTTATAATGATTAAAAGTTACAAAGGTACCGGCATTTTTCTATCTAGGCACCGTTCCGGGCGGACAAAAATACTAACCGAGCGTTAAACACGTAACGTTTTGCGGAGAGTGCAACAAAACCGGCGACTTACTGCATTCATAATTGCTAAAAGTATTAAAAAGGATCTTCTGCACTGAAATTTCTTAAGATTTTAAAGAGAACAGGGTATCATGGTCAAGTCGCACGCACGAGCCGTTCATATCGCTAGTGAATAGGAAAAAGCGTATTGCTTTCGTAAAAGAGCACTTGAGTAAGCCATAGGAGTTTTGGCAGAACGCAAAGAGGAGAACTTGATGCCAACTGTGAAGCATACTGGGGGTGGAGCATTAATATGTCAATATTTTAAAAATAAATTTGAAGCAAAGCGCAGAAGAGTTGGGGTAGGAAGTGACTACTATTTTCAACAAGATAATGACGCAAGCTTAACGCAGACATAGGTAAGCTATGCTTACTTTGCAACGTTCCCAACCAGCTTCGGGCGCCACCGCAATCGCCAGTGTTGAATCCCACAGAGCACTTAGGGGTTCACTGGAACGAAAAATCCGCCAACCCACAATATGCTCAAGGATGTAGGAATGGGCAAAAATATTTTCGACAGAAATCTCCAAGCTTGTTGATTAAATGCCAACAGTGTTATTTTTGGAAAATTATTCACTTTTGTTTTAATAAAACTACATTTTTAATATCCTTAATGAAAACAAAATAAATTGAATTTTATAAAAAATATTTAATAGCTTTTTTTTAATGAGTTGCTTTGGTTGGTACCTTGTACTTAGACTTTTCCTGCCTAGTGTATGTCTCAAATATGTAGGTAGTCTTTTAGATGGTTTGGAGCAGAAAAAATTTGCTGAAAGCTTTATTTTTTCTTATGATAACTTCAGGATTTTTAAACTTATTTTATACTAACATATTACATATTGTACATGACAACGCTTATAATTTATAATTATAAAATAAAGAAAAAATTGTTCTGGCGATCCACGGATATATGTATGTCAGATCTTTAACTCATATCTAAAATGCAAAAAAGTACTTAATTGTAGCTTTATATGCACATAAAAGTATATTAACAGATGCTTATGGTACTTTCGATTGGTAAGGTGTTTTTATGTAGGGCATTAAAATTTATGTTCTCAACATGATATTGGTATCGCCACAAAACAGTGTATTCTAGAAGGTGTTTATTTCTAGGACAAGTGTATAATGTATAAAACACAATTTAAAACAAACTATTAAACTTTTGCAGTGACTACGCCTTTATTTGGAAATAGTCGGAGTTATGTCGACCCTCATACATATGAAGATCCTAACCAAGCCATCCGTGAATTCGCACGGGAAATTGATGCAAATTATATAACAATTGAAGCTATAATAGGTATAACGTATAACGTAAAATATAAATATTTCCATGTTTTAATAACATAAATTATATATTAGGCGGAGGCGAATTTGGAGATGTGTGTCGTGGACGTTTAAAAATTCCCCCTAATTTTGTTCAAGATATTGATGTTGCAATAAAAACTCTAAAACCAGGTACTTTAGCTTTTTTGTAAAAATTTAAGTTGGTGATCAATAACCCTCGACCATAGGTTCGTCCGAGAAAGCGCGTTGTGACTTTTTAACAGAGGCATCGATAATGGGCCAATTTGATCATCCTAACGTTATATATCTTCAAGGAGTGGTAACTCGTTCTAACCCCGTTATGATTATTACTGAATATATGGAAAATGGCAGCCTTGATACGTTTTTACGAGTCAATGATGGGAAATTTCAAACATTGCAGCTAATTGTCATGTTACGTGGTATAGCAAGTGGTATGTCTTATCTAAGTGACATGAATTACGTCCATCGTGACTTAGCAGCTCGAAATGTTCTTGTGAATGCTCAACTTATATGTAAAATAGCAGATTTTGGATTATCTCGTGAGATAGAAAATGCTAGTGACGCATACACAACTCGGGTATGTTATAAAAAATTTAAAAGAAATGATAAAACAAAGACTGATTTACATGCCGTAGGGTGGTAAAATACCAGTTCGTTGGACAGCGCCGGAAGCTATAGCTTTTCGTAAGTTTACATCGGCATCAGATGTATGGTCGTATGGTGTGGTTTTATGGGAAGTTATGTCGTATGGCGAACGACCTTATTGGAACTGGTCAAACCAGGTGATTTATATTCTTTAATAGTCAGGGGTGTTGTGGAATCTGATAGTTGTCGGAATCATAATAGAAACCGATTAAAAAGTAGTATGTGTCATGAATTCAGATATTATTGTTCGAAACAGAATTTGTATCGGTTTTGGGTGTCACGGAAAACAATTTTATCTGTTTCACACATTTGAAATGTATGTTAAGAGATCAAGTTATTTTATTCTTACGAATTAATTTATCTTTATTTCTATAGGGCAAACATAAGAAAAAAACCCGAAATGTCTTAATTATTGAGTTTTTGGAAAAAAAATCCGGATATTTAAAGAAAATTTAAAAAGGTAATTTATCATTCAAATGAATCTCATTAAACATTTTAAGAGGCTTGCTTCCAAATGTATTAATGGGCAATTTTTTAACTATTAGTAAGCAGCTGATTCGAATATTAGTTTTACGCATGCTCGAAAAGACGAAAATCCAATCTGATTCTGTAACATTAATTGGTCATGTAATTAGTTTGCAATTATGATAACTATTTCACCGTGCGATTCTGTACTGTGATATAGTCTCAAGTCTCTAAATTTGAGATTATAAGTTAGAGACAATTTTTGAGACTTGAGACGATTTTGCTATTCTGTAAGTGATAGTCACAAAATCTATTACATTTCATAATTCACAGATGTTTTTAAACTTGAATGAAAATAAATATGTCGGTAAAAAATATTAATTTTTCTATAACATGGTCAAAAAACATAATTATCAATAAAAATATATGTTGACTTTGTGTCATAATATTTACGAAATGTATGTAAAATTGATTTATTTTTAATATTTTCGGGTTCGAGTTGCTTACAAAATATAAAAAACGACAATCGATTAATATGTATGATGATCTCTATTCAGTATATTCGAAATGGCAGACAAGAGGTTTTTTTGGTTTTTTGACCCGCTAACTACCAGATCTCAAATTTGAGGCAATATTTTGAGATTAACGCTAGAGACTGTTTAGTCAATAGTAACTAGTCACATACTGAGATTTTACCTCAAAATGTCTTAAATAGAGACTGGTTACAGAATCCCGCTATAAATCTGTCTTGGATTCCACAACACCCGTGAATAACAAGGATATTCGAGTTATTGCATTTTTGTTGCTTTCAGGATGTCATAAAGAGTATAGAAAAAGGTTACAGACTTCCGGCACCTATGGATTGTCCTGAAGCATTGTATCAGTTAATGCTTGATTGCTGGCAGAAGCAACGTACTCACCGACCTACGTTTTCAAGTATAGTATCAACATTGGATAATTTGGCCCGACAACCGCAAGCACTGCTAACAACGAGAAATTCACCCGAAAACGATGGATCACATATTTTAGAGGGACAACGTGGTCACAACATTTTTATAAGTACAGACTTATGGTTGGAAAACATTAAAATGTCCCGCTATTCACAGCATTTTAATGAGGCTAATTTGGTGACTGCCCAGCAGGTATATTTATATCTCAAAACTTGCATTACATTTACTTGTTTTGTGATAATTAGATAATTGTGATTTACACTTTCCATTTATGATTGGCAATGTAACAACTTTGAGATTCTAGACTTTTAGAAAGAACCTTCTGCATTTTGTTAGTTAAATAAAAATCAATGCCAAAACATAAGTGACTCTAAAATTTTATAATTTTAAAGTGAACATGTAAAAATTAAATGAAGTATATCGTTTTGACCACCTCGGTGCCGACTATATGATTTATTATATAAGATTTTTAATGACAGTAAAAGCACATCTTAAATACTAAAGTATGGTTAGTTACTAATTGTTGACAAAATAGAATTAACATTCATCGAAATGGGTTAGTAAGTCGGATATTCGACCACTTTCCTTTCCATGTACTAAGTAATGGATTTTATTACATAACTTTGTACCGCTTCTGTTATTTCACTATACCTAGAACGAATTTTCCAATTAGAACCACAATTGTAATTTACGTTTATTGTGATTTATCGCTGATTTGATTGTAATTAGCTAATGAAGTGCTAAACAAGATTGTGATCAATTAAATATTACGTTTAAAATGTAATAATGGATTCACCAAGTTTGTTTATTAGAGAGGGTTTTCGAACTATTTCCAAGCCTTTAGTGTTTGCAAACCACAATTTATTGTTTTTTATTATCTCTGCCTAATTTGTATATATGTATAATATATATATTATATCTGGATTTAAAATAGCTACCATTTTTATAATATACTTTTCTTTTTATTATAGATATCTCGGCTAACGGCTCAACAATTGTCTGACATGGGTATAATCTTAGTCGGGCATCAAAAAAAGATTTTACATCAGGCCAGACAATTGGATACTATAATTTAGGATTAAAGAGCATTTCCAGATGCATTCAGTGTATATACAGCATCACTTTTATTAAAAGTTCGTTCAAAGTAATAAGTATTATATCAGAAAATGCCCCCATAAACATAATTCGTTCCAATTATTATATTCCTTTTTTATATAATGCTTAGATATGTATAACCCACTACATAAATATATATATTAGAAATATTTGTACACAAAGCTTACTTTTTAGAAAATTTGAACTTTCACTGCGAGTTTTCTCAATGACTGTAATATATAAAAGTTTATGTTTTTTTTTAATTTGCTTCCATGAAGAATTGCACCCCTTATTTGAAACCGAATTTTGGTTATTATAGAAACTATGTAATAATGTGTAAATAATCGAGTAATACAATTGAAATATTGGTAATATAAAAATGAATTATTTAAAATGTAAAGATTTTCTGTTAGGAGACAATTCTCTTATTGGTTTCGCTCTAGATCTCTTCGAAACATGTTTTGTATAGACTATGTTATCATATGAAATACGATTTATATTTTGTGGTGAAAAATTAATCTAGTTTATTTCTTAAGAAGAGGTCAATTTGAGTTTTATCGAATTAAACTTTACCAAACTGCTTTGATCACCTTAACATTCCTATTCCATGTCGCCAATTAAAAAAATATTGTTTTGCATAACAATCGATATCGGTATTGAGGTACATTTCTTCTAAATTTTTTCTCGAATTTGTATAAAATTTACAATGATATTCGAATTTAGTGTGACGATTTAAACACAACTATGTAAATTATTCAAATGTATTTTTCAGTTTTAAAATTATTTTATTTGCCGTCATCTCGACTTAGTTGTCAAGTATAAAGTAGACCTTAAAATTATTCCTAACTTAGCTCAAGCCACCAACCCGCATCGCGTTRTGGCTCCTCTGCTGACGTTTTGCTGACCTTGCGCCTCGTGCATGGTGTTTGTTTACTTTGATGTCTGGCCAATGTTCTCACGCAAAATGTGCTGACTTAGCGACATGTGCAGAGTGGTAGGYTCTTATTACGACGGGAATTAGGGTGTGTCGTTTCCTCGCGATAACTCCTCCCCTTCTAAATGGGGAACGTCCTCGGTCCTCAAAGAAGCGGTTTTAATTGCAGTTTCAACGGACCTGGCTATGATAATCTCTCTCTTGGTCCTCCTTATCCTGAGAAGGACGTAAACAGTGAATGCCATGATTAATAAGACACCAAAGGCTGAGAAACCTGTAACGTGGCCATAATGGATTGATCGCTGCAGGTGWTTGATCCTTTGAACATTCTCTAGATTCACATGGTGAAGGTAAGAAGYGYTTAATATTTCTGTGTGCTGCGTCAAGTTAATTGTAGAAGCCCATGGARTTTCAGGTTTTAGAGGCAATGTAGAATTTTCGTTATAAAAAGTCGTACCATTAATCTTTACGTTGTTTTTGAAGACCACGAGGTATGTTCCGTTGACCGTWATAGGGACCTCATTATTTTCCTCRATGACAGCCAATTGGYCATTGATGACAACAAGGCCGTCACTTATCAGTGAAATTGGTGTGAGGTTGTTARATGTTGTACTGCAATTAGCGGTGTTGCGAGTCAGTAGTTGCAGAGCGCATGATGTAGTCGGAGATGGTAAGCAAAACGTTGGTGTTGTGTCGCTGCAGTTCTTTACGCCTACGGTATGGTTATAACACTTGGCTAAGATGGATTCTTCAAGGTGCAGGATTTGGTGGCCATGAGCTACCGGTAAAATAGTAATTTTCTTACATCTAAACATAGGAATCGGATATCTTATTAAAAAGTAAATTATGTTATTATAYTGTAATATCTTAATTCTAGCCACTGCCATAACATCGGCCACGGTAAGGTCAGTGAAGTGCTCGTCTCCTGTTATGAAATTTATTTCGTTACTGTCTAAGAGAATGGGACTTAAGACCCCAATTTTGGCGAAAGTGACAGCTGTTATAATGTTATTTAATTCTGTAATAATTGCTCTGTTTCTAGCCAGAAGTATGTCATAAATGTGACCGGTGTTTATTTCTCTTTCTTTTGTTAATTTCAGGATTTTATTTATTGTAATGGTAAGATTATTGATTTCTTTCTGTATCTGGGTGTTTATGGTAAACTGTCTGYCCTGCGAGTTAATTAGCTGTTCTTCTGTGTTCATTAATCTATTGAAGTCGTCATGGTCAGGAGTTCCAGTAATGTATTTCAGGACTGTCCCTAGGGCATTCAGGCTTCTTGCCTGTCTGTGGTGAGCGTTTATCCTTTGTATCAGTCGACTTATCTGGTTTATGTCCGCGTCTAGTAACTTCCTCATATGTGACTRGGGAAAGTGGTCTGTGGCATTAATTGTCTCGTCTCTCAGTAATTCGTAAAGTGTCAAGTTGGTAACATGCTTGATGTGTCCCGAATTCTCCCAAATTACAAGGTCCTCACCGACCACCGGAATGTACCTTGCATTGGTATAGTCGATTAACCTTCCTGTCGTTGCCGATATTAATATGGCCAAAATTATGAAAATCCTAAAAACATATATGAAACTTTTTTGTTAATTGTTTATCATTAGGAACACCTAGGTTCTAGATTAAGATAACGAAGATTGTCCTTATGGACCCTTCTCCCTTTTATTAAAACTGTTGTACCCAAGTCTTTTTCCACCTCTTCCTCAGTATAAAGAGGCGTAAGCTTATTGCCTAGTCTCCTGTTATTTTTAACAAGTACTTTTTCTCCAACAGGGAACTCCCTATCCTGCCTGTTCTTATTATRAGTTGTTAGTTCTCTTTCCTGTGCGTTTCTTAAGCGGCATGGTATTTGATTGTCATCTCTAATTGAACGAAATACGGTAAGGGGCTTCATCCCCGTTACTGTGTGAATGGACCTGTTATACTCAATCGTAGCKAAAAGGACAATTTCCTCAACATCATCAAGAATTTTGTCAAGTTTAAGGCATCGTGCTATTTCCATTAGTGTGCTATGGAATCGCTCCACCTGACCATTTGATGTACTATGTAGTGGTGGAGCATTCGCAATGTCAATATTGAAGTGATTCTTTAATATAGCTTTGATGCTGTGTGAATTCAGCGACTCCTCATTGTCGCAATAAACTATTCGAGTACCGAAAAACATGTTGAGTAACTGAARGAGCTGTGGTTTGACATCTACTATCGTTCTTGATTTCAACGACTGTACTATCGCAAATTTTGAAAACTTGTCGATGCACGTCAAGAAGAACTTGGACCCGGTAGAAAATATGT